AAATTTATACTGTAGATACTATAGTATGTACACACATAAATCATATCAACACATAGGTATACATACATATATATGTGTGTGTGTGTGTGTGTGTGTACCAAATGCTGTATGTATGTGCATATTTTATATATATGTGTGTGTGTGTGTGTGTGTGTATGTGTGTAAAAAATGTGTGTAAAAAATGGTGTATGTATGTGTATATTTGATATGTGTGTGTGTGTGTGTAAAAAATGTTTTATGTATAATATGTGTGTAAAATGTATGTGTATCTACAGTATATAAGTGTGTATGTGTGTACAAAATAATGTATGTATGTGTACATATGATATGTGTGTAAAATGTATGTGTATATATAGTATGTGAGCGAGCGAGTGAGTGTGTGTGTAAAAAATGTTGTATGTATGTGTATATATGATATGTGTGTGTGTTAAAATGTATTATATATATATATAATTCCACCGGTGTGTGTTTCAATGAATCCAAGCGCAGAGTATTGTGGGAACCCTGTTACATCTCTCATACGAGGCCTTGTTTTTGTCCCCAATATTTGGGCCACCCGAGTTGTGTCCCCTCTCCCTGCCTCGCAGATAATAAAATGTTTGGAGTCGTATAATAATAATGGCAGATAGGAGAGTAAGTCTGGTCTGGGCAGCTTTTGTAGCTCGTCTCTCCACACGTCACAAATGTCGCTCATTTATCTTTGTCGGACTCCTAATTATTTACTCCAAGGAATTGTTTAAGGGGGGAAAAAAAATCTCTACCTGAATAATAAATATTAAATGATATGGTGTTCCAATTAGTTGCCACTGCCCCCATCTTTCTCATTTAAGAACTGAATTTTGATTTATTTATCTTTCTATAAATAAAATAATACCCTTAGCACTCTACCTTTGTAAAAGGAACTTTTATGGCTGAGAACCGACACGTTACACATGCACAAGAAAATCCCCCAACAAATAAAAACTTCACCTAAGAAGGTTTCATAGAAAGAGCAATCCATCCTGATCTGAAATGCTTGCTGCATATTTACTAACAGAGGAAAGGCAAGGAAAACAGACGAAGGCGATCTATTGAGGGATACAAGTCGAGGTTTAATAAAACACCCAGAAATGATCGGAAATCTAAAATGAAAGCTCCGTATTATTTCTGGGTGACAGAACCATAGACAATAGCTGATGGCTCTTGCGCACCTTGACGTGCCTGTCTAGCTTCAATGGCAGGAAACAACATGAAATAATAGGCAGTATTTTGCTACTTGTATTTCTTCGATTATTCACCTAAACAGATTGCAGTAAATAGATGTTTAATGAGCAGCTAAGAAATATGGAAAGTGTGTGAGCGGAGGGGAGCTTAAGGCAGCTGTGAACTCTTCTTGAACCGAGATTGCAGTCATATGGTCATAAATCACTGGGACACAGACTCCGCCATTCACTGATAGACTATTTGGGTCCAGCTTACCTTAGCAGACTCTGACGAGCAAACCGCTAGCAGACATCATATATATCCACTCCGAGCGCAATCAATAGGCGGCGAGTCCTCCCTGGCAGCCTGGTGAGCAGCATTTAGGATGCCCCGGGCAGGAGCCCAGGATGGGTGAAGAGAGGCTCCTGGAGAAGGCAGAGCTGGAAGAAGATCCGTGCTAATCTCAGGGCTTTCAATGGACAAGCTGAGCTTCAAGGCTACCCTATACACCGCCCTACTCTTCCCTGCTAACAATGGCCTCGGCTCCTCAACCACATCCAGCAGCAAGAAATCCCCCCAAACTCCGCCATTGTCTTCTGCCGCTCCAACGATGAGATCATTATTATCCCCAAAAAATTAAAAAAAATAAATTAAAAAATTGTTGCTTTTTACACCACAAGTCAGCGGCTGTTATTGCTCTAAACACAGCGTCACCACTGAGGGATTATGCTAATGACAGACGTGGACACAGGCCTAGTTCTTGGAGGTAGCAAGACTTCTGCTGCTCAATTAGGTGCCAGGCTATGCTAATAGAGCGCTTGAACTCACCTACGTTGGGTGTTATTACATAGAAGCCTTTCTCTTTTTCTTTTTTTTAATCTAAGGCGTCTAGTTGTTTGCAGTTTAACCCCTGCGCTGCCAGGGGAGGCCAGCACCACCACATTCCCTTACCGTGCTATGCAAGATCACGTGGTGCCAGAAGGGGTTAATTGACAGGGCTCTCACCCTCCTCTTGGGCATTTGCTACTTTGGAATATGTAAATCGCGATCAGTGTAACTGCACTAAGGTGTCCTGTGTCAGTCAGCGCAGGGCTAGTGCACATATGTTGGGGGAAATGACACAGCAGATGAATGGGGAGAGTTTGGCAGGCACTGCTGGTGTGTGGAGGGAATGGCAGGCATCGATTGTTAGGATTAAAACCATGGGGTTATCTTGCATCAAGGGTGCAGCTGAAGGCTACAGGTAGCACTCTTCCGTTTTTGAAGAGTTTTAAAAGTTTGCATTCCTTATTCATATTCTAAAGCAAAATACAGCGGTACCTCGGTTCACAAACTTAATTAGTTCCACGATTCTGGTCGCGAACCGAATTGGTCGCAAACCGAATCAAACTGTGATCAGCCCGCAATCTCGGCTAGAGGATGCCAGGACCATGTGTCAGAGCAGGGAAGATGGCTGCGGTTGTGTTCTTCATGCGATGCGGAGTTCGTGAACAGAAGCAAAATTTTGCCAAACTTCCTGTTCGCAACCGAATTGTACGCGAACAGAAGCGTTCGTGAACCGAGGTACTGTACTAGGGGAGGTGTTACTTATATTTTCCAATATATCTATCCTTATAGCTCTCTGTGCAGTCAATGCCACATGGGATGTAAGTTTGGCAGGCAAAAAGAACAGTTATTATTGTACAATATATATACCATAGTCATATATAGTTATTGTAACAGTTATTAGGTTTCTCCAGACAAAACCTTTATCATTACAGCTATTTATATAGAGCCTACAATTTACTCAGTGCCATACATATTACAAGATGAAGGCTCTCATACATTAGAGTTAGGACCACACTACGTAGAGGGGCCTTGATTAACCCTAATAGTTCTTTATTTATTGATTGATTGCAGGCTGGCTGGTGAGTGCGCTGGGAAATGTTTGCTTTTCTACATACTGCACATTCACATCACTCCCTGCCCTCAAGGAGCTTACAATCTAAGGTCCCTATCTCACAACCCTACAGGACCAATTTAGACTGGAGCCAATTAACCTTCCAGCATGTCTTCTGGACTGTGGGAGGCAACCGGAGTATCTGAGAAAATACACGCAAGCACAGGGAGAACATGCAAACTGCTTGTATGTATAGATATGTTAGATACACTTTCCTTTTTTGCTTACTGTGTCCTTAGGTAGATTTGCCCTCACTTCCTGTCCTGGAGATACAACAGGAAGTGAATAGAAAGCCTCCTAACTGAGCGGAAGTCCCTTATTAGACAGCTGTCACCCATGAACAGATGCCCCATTAGCGGATTTGCCCTCACCTCCTGCTCTGGTGACAACCATAACATTTTGGGTTTCCTATCACTCCCTGTCCTGGTGACGATGATCACCAAGAAAGATGGAGAAGGTGGATCTCTCCAGCAAGGACATAGACAGCAATAAAAGACTGACAGGGGTGCTAACTATTCTCAACACTATCCAAAGACTACATAAAACAGTTTGGGCTAAATATATGCTTTGATCCAATGAACTAACATTAGTAGATGTCATTAAAGAGGTGTAGACAGAGTGTTGTGGAACAGGATCATCTGCTGCCTGTGTGGGCCCATTCTACCCTACTATCTGGGATTGATATACTAAAGTGATTGAGAGCAAAGTTAATGGTCACTCTGGATACCCAAACAACTATAAAGAACATTTAACAAAAGGGTTTTTCTTGCACATGA